AAACTGAACAGATACTGCACTGTTTCAACAGATGCAGATACAAAATTTGAACAGAAGTGGACACAGATTAATCTGTAAACTGTTGGTAACTGCGAGGCAGTTTTTGGCAGTTAAAAAACTTGTCAAAACAGTTTAAATCTGTTTGAAAAATAAACCTGTTGAAGAAGTAAATGAACATGTGCAAACCAATTCAAACAGATCTGTTAACTGTCCAGTTTTTTTTTTTGAATCTGAAAACTGTCCGAATTTGAACAGATTTGAGAAAGCAGCTCGGGTTTAAAAATCTGTTATGGAATAAAAAGAAGTGACACAATTGTTGGGACAACAATTTGAATTTCAAATTCAAATTACAAAATTTAAATTAATTTTTCCTGCAAGAAAATTAGGAAAAATTCAAAATAAATTTTGTCTAAAAAATTAATATTTAGAACCGACCCGACCCACACGGTCGGACGGCGGTGACATGTGTGGTGGTTTGGGTTAAGGTTTAACCTGTCCATAACTCCTCCCTTCTACATACTTGGGGTGTCCCTTGGAGCCCAACCCAAGTGTTATAGTCTAGAGCTTATGTATACAAAAAAGCTCTCTTAAAGTTTCAATGTGGGACAATCCATTTGAAGGAAACCCACATTTATATCTTTAAATGTCCATTCCACAAACTCGAAAACAACGTCAACTTCCCATTCACTCATAAATGATTTTGACGAACCGTCTTCTCCGTGTGACTTACCACGCGGCAAAGAGCACTTCACCTCTTCGGACCCACCCCAAAAGACGTTTGGGGCCCACTCAATTTTGGGCACAAAGTTGGCCCAAAATAAGCCATATATAAACCAATTTTCCAACAATTTTGATGTGTTTTCACTAAGTAAATGATTCAAATAGAAAGATATCTTCATTTATGCATAAATTTTTCTAATCTATCCAAGTTGTTATTTTCATATGTTTTGAAAATGGTAGGGGAATGTTGGAACATTTTCATAATATATTTTAGGGGTGGGCGCGGGTCGGTTGTGGCCACAAAACCTTCAATCCGCCATCCGTCCGCCAGATTGGCGGATTGGAAAAAATCAATCCGCATCCGTCCACCAATCCGGCGGATGTGGATTGAGCGAATTGGCGGTTTGGCAGATGGATGCGAATTGGTTTGGCGGTTTGGAATTTTATAAATTTTTAACATAGTTCAACTTGTGCACTTCCTCAAAAAAAAAAAGAGAATATTACAGTCAATGACTTAAAAAAGAATTACAATTACTGCATGCCTCATCTAACGAAAAAAAGTTTGAAACTTTAGAATATCACAATCACTGCATGTCTCATTCACATATTACAATCACAGCATGCCTCATCCATATAAAATATTACAATCTGTAGTTCTTAAAATATAAAAACAATTCAAACCACCAAAACCATGAATAGAGTAAAGTATTACAATCTGTGATTCTTAAAATATAATAACAATTCAAACCACCAAAACCATAAACAGAGCAGTAGTAGAGATTGAATGTCTCTATATTGTTACATCTACATATGTTTTTGAAAACAAAAACCAACCAGCATATATCATATTTTTTATTTATTATTTTTAGAGTTAGATTTAAAAACTAAAAAATATAGATGAATAATATGTTTATTTTTTTCAATTCAAAAATATATTCAAGTTGAAATTTTTTTTTCAACAGAATATTTGAACTCTTTTTCAATTGAAAACACAAACAAAATATTTAAACAAATTGAAAACACAAAGTTTTAAAAATTACTAAGGGTGCTCGCGGTTTGGCGGTTCGATTGCAGCCAAAGGAACCTTAAATCCGCCATCCGTCCGCCAAATTGGCGGATTGAAGAAAATCAATCCGCAACCGTCCGCTCGTCATCACGCATCCGTCCAAAATGCGGCGGATCGGTTCGGTTCGGTCGGTTTTGGCAGATCGGTATATCCGCTGCTCACCCCTAATATATTTATATATATTTAAATATATAATATAGTTATATGAATGATTAAAGAGATGTGACTTTTGGGTTTAAACCAAAGCGTGTAACCATTGAGTTTAAACAAAAAGGTGTGTCTTTTGGATTTAAATCATGGGGTGTAACCATGGATTTAAACCAAAAAACATGACTCTTGAATTTAAAAAGTGTCACTTTTAAATTTAAAGTACACGACTTTTGGTCTAAGTGACACAAACCCATGCCTATATAAAGGCAGAATGGGTTAGAAATTGGATAGAAATCATCCATATGAAATCTATGGAATTTCTTTCTAACATTCATGTTGTTATTTTCCTCTATACTTGGTGGATTAGAAAAATCCAAAGGTATTCAGAATCTGATATCATTCGTGCATAATGCAGTTAGACATCAGTGTTTAGACTAAGTTTCATTGTATTCTGAAGGCGGATTCGCAAGTAACCCGGTGCACACCATATTCAACAGAAGTGGTGGGGGCGAATATCGTCTTAAGAAAAGCAACATTGTAATACGCCTTGAAGCAATACTAATTATTTTCTATTTTATCTCATTCCATCAAATTTATCAAATTTGCCCCAACAAAAAATGACTCTTTTTTTTTTTATAGTTTCAAACTCAATTAAAATCAAAATCTAAAAAAGCAACATAGAGTTAATTATCTCGGGATAATTTGGGATTTGAAAAAAAAAAAATTGACAATTCATATCAAGTCAGATCTACCTTTTATATAACAAAATATAAAATATAATAAGTATTTATATTATACTACTATATAAAGTCGCCAAAAAATAAAAATAATGCGCACAAGGTACATCATGTATGAATCCACTCCGTCACAATTTTTTTAATTCTTCACTAACATTTATTTTTCTAGTGGACGGGTCGTGCGCCCACCATTTGACCCAAATCTACCCTGACACTTTAATGGACCAAGGGATCATGCTCTGACTAGTTATAGCAGGATTTTTTTTTTTTTTTTTTTAGGGTGAATTATCTAACGATTGTTACAGTTTAGGATTTGTATTATTTTGATTTTTAATTTTTTAATTATGACACCTTTAATTCTGAATTTTTTGTTCTAAATAAGAATAATTGACAATACCATTACTTAATTTTAAAGGTAAAATCATCAATATGATAAAATAAAAATTAATTTGACAAAAATAATGTCAAAAAAATATTTTTGAATTTTTAAAAATTATTTCTACCTACCAAAGATAAAATTATGCAAAATTGATAAATATTTTAAACATTTATTTATTTATTACTAAATTAATTTTTATTATGTGTTTGGATGATGATCATATAATAGATGGTTATTTTTAATTTCATTAAATTAGTTTTTATTTTTTCAAAATTCAAATATGGCGATAACTTTGATATCATTATTAAACCAATCCATTAAATTAAAAAATTTAAAACTAAAAACATTTCATATATTAAATATATATTGATTACATATTAAAAGTGTAATAACCCCACATTACATGATCATCATCCAAACACATAATAAAAATTAATTTAGTAAAATAAATAAACAAAGAAATGCGTAAAAAATTTATCAATTTTATATAATTTTATCTTTGGTTGGTAGAAATAATTTTAAAAAATTTAAAAATAATTTTTTGATATTTATTTTTGTCAAATTAATTTATATTTTATCAAATTAACGACTTTACCATTGAAATTGAGCAATGGTATCTTTAATTGTCCTTATTTGGAGCAAGATTTAAAATTTAATGTCAAATATGTCACAATTGAAATGTCAGGGACCAAAATGACATGACCTCCAAAATATAGGGACAGTTAGTGTAATTCGCTTTTTTTTTATTTTTTTTATTTTTATAATTCGAATAGTTTATATTATAATATTTGTTGAGTGAATTATCTATGTAAAAAATTAAAATTATTGGACATTTATAACTTAATAAAAAAATAAATGGTTGGCATGTTCATTTTTTTTTTAAAGAGTAGGCTCCTCTCTAGTTGGGTTTTCTAATTAGGAGGGGATGTTGGGTCTCTATGGGCCTATCGCGGAGCCCACATCAATAATCTGAACCATTCACTATGTGGGGCTCATCGAGTACTTTATTCTTGCAAAAAAATCATGTTGATCGAATATCGATAAACAGTTGATCGGATAATATTAATGTCAACAATTTATTTTAAAAATCATATTTACCGTGGACACAAATGTAATTCGATCAAGTGGATATCGATATTCGATTTACGTGATTCTTTATGGTAATGAAATAATCGACGAGTTCTACATATTGAAGGATTCAGATTATCGATGTGAGTTATGTGGTGGGCCTATGGAGACCCTACATCGCTCCCCAGTCCTATTTGGACTGAAGAGGAGCCTACTCGTTTTTTTTTTATAACAACTAAAACCAGATTATGGGATTGCGGATTTTCAAATTAATTTTATTTTTTACATGAATAATATACTCGACGAATTTTATAATACAAACAATTCGAATTAACAAAAAAGACTGAAGAAAAACTCCCACGAAGGCACCACAACACCATAGGATCCCCAATCTCACTTTTGCCCTTTAATTAATCCAAAATGGAATTTGTTAAAATGTAAGCATGTTAATGAGAATAAAAAAAAATTGTGTTTAGTTTAGTTTATATGGCAAGTTTTTTTAGTTTTATTAACTATAGATGAATAAAAATGTAACATTATAATTTGACTTAAAATAAAAAAGATTGATTGTCATAATTAAAAATGTAAAAATTAAAATAAAATTACAATAAAAATGTAAGGATAGAAAGTATAATTAATCGTAAATAAAAATAGACAAAAGTCTAAGCTTCATATGAAAGCGACAAATACGGTGCAATTATGTCTAAAGAATTTTCAAATTGGAGAAAGGGTCTAAAATTCAAATGTTGGTGTGCAAGCAAGCTGGGCATGAGAATGTTGACCATAAGTGAAGTATCTACAGAAATATGCCACAGCAAGTACTATATATATAGTTATAAAAGCATATTCAATCTTCTGAACTTGATCGAGACAGAGAGAGATGGCAAGGTACTTTGATGTTGTGGGTGGTGGTGCAAGAACAGCAGGTGAAGAAGGACTTGTGATTAATGGGTCTGGGTTCATGATCTATATTTGCATGATTGTTATGTCCGGATCGATCATGTCTATGATTATCTTTGCTTGCGGAAAGCGTAACTCTGACAGAGATAACAAGAAGCAAAAGAAGAAAAAGGATGCCCCTGATTTTGGTGATTGTGACTGCAGCGACAGCTGCTTTTGTTTTGGTGGTAGTGGTGATGGTGGCGGCGATGGTGGTCACGGTCACGGTCATAATGACGGGGCTGGTGGTCATGGTCACGGTCACGGTCACGGTCATAATGGCGGGGCTGGTGGTCACGGTCACGGTCACGGTCACGGTCACGGCCACGGTGGTGGTGGTTGCGGTGGTGGAGGTGGTGGTTGCGGTGGTGGCGGTGGTGTTTGAATGTTTTTGGTTTAGGAGGAGTTAATTTCAAGAATCCAAATATATGTATCCTCTTTTTTATTTTATTTTTTATATTTTTTAAATTTCATTTTTCTTAATATGTTGTGATATCAATAAATGTATGTGTAATTGTCTTCTTTTTTTTTAATTTTATTTCTATTATTAGATATATGTGTTGTGAAATTTATAATGAATTTATTTATTTATGACATAATTATTCTTGCCTTTTTTGTAATTATTTTTGTTACACGTCTACACCAATTCAAATATAAGATTTTAGATAATAGAATATATAGATAGTCAATATACATTCCTGTGGGGATATATTTTCTAAGTACCAACACGTGGCCAAGGTGACGCCGATGTGTCAGCCAAGGTGCCACGTATCCTGGTTGTTATGCAGAGGTCATCTCGGATAGGCCGAGGTTACCTCCGAAGATATCGGAATCCGAGATAAGCGGATGAGGGGCAAGAGTCCTAGAATAAGAGAAGACTTCAGTTTGTGTTAAGATAAGACTCTTAGAGAGTTTATCCTAATCTTACTGGGAGTCCAAGATTAGTAGTAATCCTGAGTCCATAAAAGTTAGGCTTCTATTGAGACTAGATTTATGTTGGCTATAAAAGAGAGGCACCCCCATAAGTCTAAGGTATGCTTTTGGTACTCAAGCTTGTGAGTTTAGCACTTGATTTATCTTTGAGAAATATACTGACTTGATCGTCGAAGTGCCCCCGGGTGGACGAACCACCGCCGGAATCTTCTCTTTCTGTTGCAGGTCAGCCAGGTGCCATCTATTCTGTTGGTGCTCTCCAGCTGGTTACTAAGCGGGCAGTGCGGTCAAAAAATCACTCACACAATTTGGCGTCGTCTGTGGGAAAGAAAGGAGAATAAATGGCCATCACTGTACCAGATCAACGTATCAGAAACGACGAGTTTAGAAAAGATGGAGAATGTGTCGACATAAACGGAGTGAAGACCCTTCCAGAAGGAACGCAAAGACAGGGGGCATGAGTGCTCCCAAGGAGATGACATTCAAGTATAGAAGAGCTCAGCCTAAGTAAGCAGATCCCAGATTCTAGATCCTGGATCCCGGATCCTAGAAGACAAGATCTTGGCCTAAATAAGTAAGTCCAAGAAGACAAGAGCTCAGCCTAAGATTCCAGATCCTGGATCCCGGATCCCAGAAGGCATGATCTCAACCTAGATGAGTAGATCCGAGAAGAGAAGAGCTCAACCTGAGAGAGCAGATCCAAGATTCCAGCAGACAAGACCTCGGCACTTAAGCCCGAGAAGAGAAGAGCTCAGTGAGCAGATCTCAGATCCCAGAAGATAAAAAGAAAACATACAAGGTCAGACTGCAGTTAGCTAGGTTGAAGACCTTTTATAAGGTCCACAAAAGAGCATGTGAAAGCCATGCAGGGGGCAAAGAGAAGAGAGATTATGTTTAACACTTGTTGAAATTTGTGGACAATTTACAAGTTGAAGTTAAACTGAAATTATTGTTTAACACTTGTTGAAATTTGTAGACAATTTACAAGTTGAAGTTAAACTGAAATTATTGTTTAACACTTGTTGAAATTTATAGCAATTTACAAGTTGAAGTTAAACCGAAATCATTGTTTAACACTTGTTGAAATTCTGTGTGAATTTACAAGTTGAAGTTAAACCGAAATCATTGTTTAACACTTGTTGAAATTTATGGACAATTTACAAGTTGAAATTAAACCGAAATCATTGTTTAACACTTGTTGAAATTTGTGGAAAATTTACAAATTGAAGTTAAACCGAAATTATTGTTTAACACTTGTTGAAATTTGTGGACAATTGAAGTTAAACCGAAATTATTGTTTAACACTTGTTGAAATTCTGTGTGAATTTACAAGTTGAAGTTATACCGGGGTCATATTTAACACTTGTTGAAATTCTACGTGAATTTACAAGTTGAAGTTAAACCGAGGTCATATTTAACACTTGTTGAAATTCTGCGTGAATTTACAAGTTGAAGTTAAACCGAGATGATATTTAACACTTGTTGAAATTCTGTGTGAATTTATAAGTTGGTTAAACCGATATGATGTTTAACACTTGTTGAAATTCTGTGTGAATTTACAAGTTGGTTAAACCGATATGATGTTTACCACTTGTTGAAATTTACAGCAATTTACAAGTTGGTTAAACCGATATGATGTTTAACACTTGTTGAAATTCTGTGTGAATTTACAAGTTGAAGTTAAACCGAGATGATATTTAACACTTGTTAAAATTCTGTATAAATTTACAAGTTGAAGTTAAACCGATGTGATGTTTAACACTTGTTGAAATTCTGTGTGAATTTACAAGTTGAAGTTAAACCGATGTAATATTTAACACTTGTTGAAATTCTGTGTGAATTTACAAATTATAGTTAAACCGAGGTCGTATCGAAAGGAAGATGGTTTAACACTTGTTGAAATTTTGAGAAAAATTTACAAGCTGAAGTTAAGCCGAGGTTATGATAAAGAATGATGATTAAAACACTAGTTGAAATTTTTGAGAAAAATTTACAAGTTAAAGTCAAGCTCAAGCAATATCTGCGTACTTGCCGAAACTACCAGGTTGTCAAAACTTGAAGTATAGAAAACTGAAGTCTTGATAGAAGACATTGAGAAAGTGACAAGTCCTAAGAAACACTTGTGAAAATCTTTGTTACAATATTTTCAATTGTTAGGACAAGGCCGAGATGAGCAAGATTAGAAGTTGTGACAGAGGTATTTTACCCGAAGAGATTGCACAGTCAAGGTGTACTTTGAAGACATTTGCCGAGACTACCAGGTTGTCAAAACTTGAAATATGGAAAACTGAAGTCTTGACAGATGACATTGAGAAAGTGACAAGTCCTAAGCAACACTTGTGAAAATATTTGTTACAATATTTTCAATTGTTAGGACAAGGCCGAGATGAGCAAGATTAGAAGTTGTGACAGAGGTATTTTACCCGAAGGGATTGCACAGTCAAGGTGTACTTTGAAGACATGCAAATTATTCTAAGTGTAGAATCATACAAGAGCAGAAAAAAGAAGACATTCATTCAAAGAAAAAATTAGAGAAAGGCATTTAAAGAAGAAAGAAGGCACTTCGGCCTGAATATTGAAAAATAAACTATTCAAACTATAAAAATGGCACGTCGGCCGGATTAAAAGCATACAAAGAAGGACAAGGTACAAGGTACAAGGAGTAAAAGAAGGAAACAAAACTACTCGGCATCAAATGGCAAGATATAGAAGACAGTTGGGAAGACTTCTCCGCAGCCTTCTTGGCCTCGAGCTCAGCATCAATCTCCCGAAGAGTTTGATCAAAGCTCTTCTCAGCGATTGGCACCTCAGAGTTTGAAGGCAAGGATTGAAAGCAAGAATCTGAAAAAAGACACAGAAAACAGAAACAAGAATGTAATTCGTAATCAAGAATGGTGATGAAGCTATCAGGAAATCAAGACAAAAAGATTGCACAGGTGTGTCAAGCCAAGAACAGTGGCAGAAATCAACAGATGTGTGAACAGTGTGTATTCAAGAAGATGATTTGGAAACAACGGGTAAAACAACAATGGTGATTGACAATGAAGCAGAGCTTCTTGGAATGCAACAAGAAATAAAACCAGGAGGAACAGTGGCTTACTAGAAAGAGGGAAGCCAGAATAAGAATTGCCGAAGTCTGACAACGGATGCGAAAATGACAGAATGGCGTAAGCTTCACCAGAGGAGAGGAGCGAAAACAGTTGCAGAGCTTGAAAGCTTGGAACAATGACGGATTTAAGCAAAATAGCTAGAAAGAAAAAAAGCCAAAGGATTGAATGAGAAAAGAGAAAAATCAGCGTCAAGAAGACGACAAAGTTCAAGGATAAAGCCAAGTGCACAGGCACTAAGTAAGTATGTGAAGAGCAAGAAAGTAATGATCCAGACACGATGCTAGCAACAGAAAGCAGATATGGCAAGAACAGTGCCAGGCGTTCAAACAATTCAAAACTTAAAAACAGACGAAAATAGAAAACAACAGAGGGCAAGTAAACGGATTCAGAAGAGTTATGAAAGATTGAGCTTAATAAAAGAGTTTATGAACCTACCAAAAGAAATGAATGCCGATATGAAGATCGCCGGAGTCAAATAGATGACTGGAAGTCGGGAACCCACCGAAGAATGTGAGTGGAGCAGTTGCAAAGCTCTTGGAGTTTACGAATTAATGGAACAAGAATCTCGGCTAGAAGGTGTGATCTCGAGCAGCTTGGAAAGCATGAAGCTTGATACTTGACAGAAGTGGACAATAAAGTCTAGGGAACTTTGAGGTCGGCGAGTTTGATCTCGGACAGAGGGGCACAGGTGAACGAATAGTGTAGGTTCCATCACCTCAGAATGTCGAGGTAATAGAACCTAGGGGGCAGTTATGGAGATATACTTTCTGAGTACCAACACGTGGCCAAGGTGACGCCGAGGTGCCACGTGTCCTGGTTGTTATGCAGAGGTCATCTCGGATAGGCCAAGGTTACCTCCGAAGATATCGGAATCCGAGATAAGCGGATGAGGGGCAAGAGTCCTAGAATAAGAGAAGACTTCAGTTTGTGTTAAAATAAGACTCTTAGAGAGTTTATCCTAATTTTACTGGGAGTCCAAAATTAGTAGTAATCCTGAGTCCATAGAAGTTAGGCTTCTATTGGGACTAGATTTATGTTGGCTATAAAAGATAGGCACCCCCATGGGTCTAAGGTATGCTTTTGGTACTCAAGCTTGTGAGTTTAGCACTTGATTTATCTTTGAGAGATATACTGACTTGATTGTCGGAGTGCCCCCAGGTGGACGAACCACCGCCGGAATCTTCTCTTTCTGTTGCAGGTCAGCCAGGTGCCATCTATTCTGCCGGTGCTCTCCAGCTGGTTACTAAGCCGGCAGTGTGATCAGAAAATCACTCACACCAATACTTGTTTGTTTTAATCGTAAGGTCAAATAATTGATGTAAATTTATTCAGTTTTTGCTAA